GAGACGTGCCCAAGAAATGTGGTATATCAAAACTCAATCAACTCTCCTATGAAGATCCGGTAAACATTTACAGTGCCTGAACTTGGCCCTGCAAGGCACGAGGCCTGGACAGAGAACCGGACTGACAAAGTTAGATCACCATCTTTCAGGAACATGAACAAGTGCATGTGAGTGTGATGGATTTCACCCCAACCAGCTGCACAGCTTTCCTAATGGGCAAATGGAAGCACGTTGAAATCAGGGGACTCAAACTCATATCTTAGAAGCTCTGCAATGTGGTATCACTGTCCTTGCTACACAGACAAGAGCCCAAAGCTTAAAGAGGCCAAGTGAGTGCAAAGGTCTCACAGCCACTGAGAGGAGAGACAGGATTTGATTCCATGGCCAAACTGAAGCCCATCTCTACCCTCTGTCCAAAACTGAACAAATCCCAGACCAGAAAATGTAGGGTAGGCACAAACCTTCATGGCAGGGGTCCCAGCCATAGTTCTTTCTCTTCTGAGACCTTGTTCTCTATCTATGGGTGAGACAAATGCATGTACACATGCATTCAAATAAATAGATACATGGACACAGACACAGATAGATGGACTACATACATAAATACACATATATATACAATAGGCACACGGATTATTGTTGTCAAATGGTGAGGATGGTCCATAGATGCCAGGGTAGCCTTCATCTAAATGGGAGTCCCCAAGAACTGTGACTGATCAGGACTGTGGACCAGCGCACACTGGTACCAGGTGGAAACACCTATGGAATGGGACCTTGGTGACACACATCCGTGTGTAGGAGCCCTGTTTATAAGTTTCCCCCACTTGTCTGAGTTGGTGCAGATCCAGCTGGGGATTCAACACACATATCATGGGAAGCACAAAGGGTCAAAAGAAGGTGAAGGTGGGGAGAGAATTGAGGCCTTTGAAGAAGGACAAGAGAGGGTGTGTCATGATTCACACAGGTGGCAGTGGACACTGAAGGGCAGCTCTCGGTCACATTGGTCCTTATGCTCCCTGCAGCAGGAGATCTGAGTGGCACATTTTAGCAGCTGCCATCTCCTCTGAAAAAGTCCTGCTGACCACCATGGGGCCTGTATTACTGCCCCAAAGACAAGCAACTCTGCTGTGTGGGTTGTCGGTGCTATTTAACATGGAAGGAAGTGGAAAGCATTGTGAAAATGTGCTGATTTGAGGAGAGTTTGAGGCACTGCATAAACCTTCCAGGATGTCACGACTCACACAGAAAGTGAGCTACCCCGAGACTCTTCCGCACAGGCCATACAACCTGTCCTCACTTTGTCCTAGTTGACCTCGCAAAAACCATGTCAGTGTCAGAAGGGAACAGGGCAAACAGCGTGTCCTGTGGTGGTGGTAAAGTCCTTGCGAGTGGAAGAGGGCACATAGGCAAAGTTAGGTTAAAGGGCCTGGGGTCAGCCCTGCCCCTTACTTGCTGTGTACACTTGGACACACTTCAAGCTTCCCTGAGCCCCAGGTCACATTGGATAAATGGCAACTGCAGCACTTCCTTCCAGGGCAGGGTGAGAGAGCTATGAGGTGGCCTTGGCAACCGACTGGCACTGATTTCTTCCCTCCTCCAGTGCCCCTACCTCTAGACCCCCACTTCTAGTACAGATGGAATCCAACATATTAGACAATGCTTGTGATTTAATGGGTGATAAAATAGCAATTAAACATAGAGGCTGATGTAGTCAAACACCAACCATAAAATCATGCGTTGAACACCTCTGAGCACACAAGTATAATCTTGGTGGGAAGTAGAGTTGCATTCAGCACTGCAGACAGTGTATGGGGCCTGACCAGAGCCCAGGATCTGTGTGGAAGGAAACCATCACCACACTTTATTTATCTGTTTCTTGCGGCCACTCAACACCTTGTTGGTGTCCCCTGGAAATCATCAGATTTCTCCATTTCCCTGAATCATAAAAGTCTGCTGCAAATATCTTTCATGTATACAAAACATGTCTGTATGAATGTGTCTATTTATGTATGAATCCATATGTGTAAATGTAATAAACATAAACATCTTTCATATATATGCACCTGTCTGTATCTCTGTATATACATGCATACATATTACGTATGTTTGCGTGTGTATGTGTTAAATGTGTACAGAAATGTTACACATATAAACCGACCCTACTTCCTTTAGTGTGACCATCTTTCATTGTCTTTCCATTTGTAGTGTATTCCTTCAACATTTGTTCCTTCAACAAACTGTCACTACCAACCCACTTGGTCTCCTTCCAGGACCACCTGCACCTCTATGGCCAGAGTGCATTCCCACCGTCAACCACAGGCTTCTAGTTGCCAGACACAATGTCTCTTCTCGCATCTTGCCTTACTCCACCTGTGAGCAGTACTTGGTTGCATGATCTTCCCACCCCTCTGAAGCACTTTCCGACCTGGCCTGAGGACACCACGGGCTGCTGGCTGTCCTTTCCTGCAGTCACTCCTCCTCAATGGGGCTGTATGGGGACTCCTGGTCATATCAGTTATTTTTTCTAAATTCATTTCCCAAAGGAAGTAAATGTCCAGCCTGAACTTTTTTCTAGATCCAAATGTCTAAGCAAAACTGCATGTAGAAGACTAAGCACCCCAAACCCAGCTCAGCCAAAACCCAGCAATTCCTCCATCTCCCACTTGGCTGCTTGCTTGCATCTGCCCGGTCTCAGCAAATGACAAGTCTCTTCTGAAATGTTCTTGACTCTTCTCTTCACATCTCACCAATTATAGCCAGTTCAGGAGAAAAGCCTGTTACTTCAGTCTTCAAATTGTCCAGCCACTTCCCATTACCTCCCTGCTGGTGCTTTGTCCCACCCACTGCTGCTTCCCCTGCAGTCTGTGCTGTCCATGCTCACCCCCCCGCCACCCTGTCTCTGTCTATCTCTATCTCTGTCTCTGTCATCTCCATCTCTCTCTCCCTCTCTCTCCCTCTCTCTCCCTCCCATCTCTCTCGGTGTCTCTCTCTCTCCCTGTCTTGATATCTGTCTCTCCCCCAGTGTCTCTCTCTCTCAATATCTCTATCTCCCTCCCTCTCCCTCTCAGTGTCTTTCTCCCTTTTCCTCTCTCCCTCTCTCTCTCGGTGTCTCTCTTGGTGTGTGTGTCTCTCTCTCCCCTTCAATGTTTCTCTCACTCCCTCTCTCTTTCTCACTATCTCTCTCTCTCTCTTTCTCTCTCTCTCCATCTCTCTGTGTCTCTCTCCCTGTGTCTGTGTCCCCTGTCCCCTCCGTGCTCCCCACCTCTCTGGTCTGTGTTCAGTATCCAGGAGGATCCAGGTTGTTTGTGCCTTCCCCTCTGCTGTCACCTACTAATAGCCCCACTTCATTCAGAATAAAGCTTGGATCCTTACAGCAGCCTGGAAAGTGATCTGAGGTCCATACATATACACACTGTCCCCAGCATTATGTACCATCAGCCCTGCTACCCCCCAAGTCATATGCCCACCCAGAGTTCTCCCTTGATGTCCCCTCCCCAGGCCCCTCATGTACCCTCACATTCAGTTCTCAGCTCAAGGGTCATCCCATCAGATGCCTGCTAGGCCACTGTGTGGAATGCAGTACCTTCCGCTATCATTCTCTTTGCTGTATAGCACTTGTCAGAACTTGACAAATTATTACTGCTTGTTTCACACACAGGATGCTAGCTCCCTGAGAGCAAAGATGCTCCATCTTGTTCATTCATCTAAAAACAGCCTTACTCCAAAACACTTGTTGAGAGAAAGAAAAAGGACAAGAGAGGGGTAGGAGTGGCAGAGAATGGTGATGTAGGTCACCCCAGCCTTTGCCAACCAGCCCCTAGAAATTAGTCTCAGGTGCTAAGTCCAGTCCACACAACACACAAAGTAGCCTTCAGGAATGCCTGACTCCCTGAGGGCGACTGAAGGCAGGAGTGCAGGAATGTATGACAGAAGCAGGGTTAGCCCAGGTCCTTCCAAGACCATACATCCGGGTGTTCACAGCCTAGGCTGCGTGAACACACAATGGATTCATGGGCCCCAAACCATAGGCCTCCAGGTAGAGTGTAGGAACACGGTCACCTCTGGCTGGCATGCGGGGCTTAGACAGGAAGGACAAGAGAGCATCTGACTTCACATCTCCCACATACAGTTGGTCTAGGCCTTCCAGATCAGTGTAGTGTCTGTGAGCCAAAGGTGGCCTGGGACTAGGGCCAGGTGAGATCTCCCCCTTGCTTTCCAATGCAGAGGGCAGTAGAGTGGGTCACTACACTCTTCCTGAGATTCCTGGAAGTCCTTTGCAGGAACAAAAGCAAGCACTGGGCCCCTGTCTCAGCATGCCCATTTGTGCCAGTGGGGTGTCATTTGCTAAAGTGACTGTAGGAGAACTTGCCTTCCTCAGACAGGAAATTGGGATTTCTGCCAGCCATTAAGTACCCAGAGAACTCTAATTTAATTATCAGTTGAACAATACCTTGATGGGTGTACTAGATTTATCTATCTATCTATCTATCTATCTATCTATTTATCTATCTACCTATCTATCTGCACACACATTCATTCTAAGTGGTTGTAAATAATTAATAAACCAATAAATGGACACATCATAATTTAGACCTTAAGACACTGTCAGATGCTTATCAGGAAGCGTGATTACATTGGAAATGGATGGATGGGGAGCGGATTTGTGGCAGTGGCTTACAGGTTCCCAGTCCGGAGTCTTCACCAGGAGCTTCTCTGAGCCCCACCATGAGATGCACTTCGTCACCATTAATTGTGTGCAGGATATTTATGAGTTCAGTTGGCTGTTAACAACTTGGCCCTGCAGCAATTAATATTTATATTTGCAGCACCCAGTGCCGATAATGGACAGCTAACAGGCTTGGTTAATTGGTTCGCCACCCCCACCCTCTTACTGTATCTTTCCTGACCAGTGAAGACGTCTTTCACAGGGAATCCTATAATGGGCTCTTCATGTGTTGGTAATTTTAATTACCTTTTTATTGCTATGCAAATCTCTCTTCCTTTAATCTGCCAGTTAAAAGGAGGAACACTGCTACTGCGCAACTGTGACTAGCGAGAACGGAGACAGGGTGCGGGAGAGTGCAGCTGCGCAGGCGTGAGCCAGCAGCCCCGGTGTGCCGGAAAGGTGGCCAGCTCAAGTCCCCTGGGGGAGGAGGGCCATTCGCTGGTGATTGTTCAGAGGCAGCCAATGGGGAGACCAGTTTTTTTGGGGAGCATGGGGACAGGCAGAGCAGGGCACTGGCCTCTTGAGGAGCAAGGGCACTGAAGTGACAGTCTGCCCACGTGGGTTCATTCAGGTCTCCAGAGATGGCATCCAGGACAGGAAACATGCTAGGAGAAGCAACAAGACAGAGTGAAGCCAGTCATAGCCAGGGGATTTGTGCTGTGTAAAGCAGGAGCTATGGAACAACTCTTGCAGGTCTCTGCAGCCTCTAGCTCCTGCTCTAAGAAGGGAGAGCCTCTTTAGGCCCTTCAGCCCTTCTCAGGATGTGGGACAAGACAGAGGAGGGAAGGGCCACCTCTCTCTTCACTCCCCTTCCTCCCCAGCCATACCAGGGATGTCTCAGTTCCTACAGGCCAAGACCCTGTCTGCATAGCTCAGGTGCAGTGCCAAGCCTCAGCGTGAGCCAGGTGGGGCTGCAGCAAGGAATCAATGGTCTTTTCAGATTTGCCTCTTATTCCAGCCAGGGTCACAACCCCATCTCCTCCATCAGTTAAAACATGCCTGAATTGCTAAGGGGACAGTGCTTCCCAGCCATTCAGCACAGCAGGGAGAGGTGGTCCTGGCACCCAGGGGTCATTTCATGTAGGATTGCATGGAGAGACAGCTCCATGAAGCCCCCAAGACACCTGGGAGCAAGAGCTGTCTACTTCACATGGCTGTTCTGGGAAGGCTTCAGGTTTGCAGAGACTTGGTGGGATTTAAGGGAGAGGGCTGCGAGGATAAGACAGAAGCAAAAGGCTCCACTTGGCCAGTGGGAAGGGCCTGGCTCAAGGCTGGAACTGCACAGCCCAGGTCTGACATGTGTCCCTGCTCCTAAGCCTGCAAAATATAAACCGCAGAAGCTGCATCCCTCCCTGCACTCTGTTCTTGTTCAAGGAGGTCACATCAAGGGACAGGTTAATGTGTTACAGCACCATTGCTCAATGACTGATGACATGGTTATTTTAATGTATATTAAGAAACACAGCAATTACTTCAAACTTACGACTCATGAACCTCACAGATGTCCACCCCTACGAGGCCTAGTCTGCACTTGCTTTTGGTGGCTGACCCACTTGAGGGGCTCTCTGACCCTGTCCAAGGTGGGGGGTCCTTCAGTGGCTACTGTCCCCCATCAGGGAGGTAGCTATGCTCCCCATGCCCTGAGAAGTCCTGTTTCTCCTTCTGCACCCACATGCAGTAGGGCATCTTTACACAGCAACTTGATTTAAAGAAAACTTGAGTAAATCTAAATAAAAATAAGTGATACAGCAGACCTCACTGGGACGAGGTTAATTGGTATAAGAAGTGCAGATTTGAATGGGAGAAATCCAGAGGCAGGAATTTGGGCACATGTGTGGGCATGTGCCTGGGTGTGTTCCTTGCCCTGGGTCATCAGATGGTCCAGGGACACGGCCCACCAGTGTGCAGAGAGAATGTATGCTGAGAGGTGCACACATGCTCTCCCATTTCATAAATCAATTATCTCCTACAACCGGGTAAACTGTGAGGAAACATTCAATAACTCCCCCTAAATGTTCCATCCGGGACCCTCAACGGCTCATTAGGTTATATGAGGTGTGGGTAATTACCCGGAGACAGTGTGTTCACTCCCTGCACTGCTTAATTTCCTCTCCTCAGTTCTCAGCCTCCTTACAACAAGGAAGATGAATAGGCCATGGCCACACGTGGATCCATGCGTATGAGAGTACAAGCACACTACTGCATATGGGTATGGGCAACCTTACCCATACCCAGGTCTTCATGTCCTGCTCAAGCTAACAAAAGGAGCCCAGCTGGAGCAGGACCTTCCCAGAGAAAACCCCCTGTCTTAAGGGCCCCCAGTTCATTTTCTTCTCTGCAGTCAGGATGAAGGAGCAGCTGCTGGTGCCTCTACTATAGGAGGGTGGGGCTGAGAAAGATGGCCGAGGAGCTCTGCACGGTGGTGAGCACCCATGGGTTGTCAAGAGGTTAAATAAGCCAATTCTTCTGGAGCAGAGCATGTCCAGTTATGGGTAGCCACTGTCACGACTGCAGTCTCCATCCCACTATGCCTCCTCCAGAGCAGGCTGGTCTCTGAGACACAGTAGCTGAGAGTAACGGTCACAGCTCTCCCTGTCCACTTGCTCCCTTAGCTACACCATGGCTGAAGGGAGCCACATCCGCACTTACAGCAGCAGATCCTACCACATGCCCTAGGTCCCCAGGTCCAGTGCCCTGTGCCTAAGTCACTGGTGTTTCAAAACTAACCTTGAATGAATAGACAAGAGAGGAAAAAGTTTGGTGCTCTCATTTACATAGGATAAAGAGGGGAGCTCAGGACAGCCAGGTAGGTTGCCCAGTGTGCCTGCAAGGTGAGTACCAGTCCCAGGCTGACCAGCTCCATCAAAGCTCTGACTCTTCCATGTGGCTCTGCTCTTCTGGGGCCTCCTATCTTCTCCAGGGTCCCCAAGAGTTTTGTGGCTCCTTCCTCAAGCCTGGAGTCACATGCACGCAAAATAAAAAAGGTAGAACTTCTTAGGGCATAGGGGGCACAGCTGTCTCACTGATGGAGGAGGCAAGCTGCTGCAAGCACCAGCCCCTACAGATGGGCCCTGAGGATCCCTCAACTGGGCCAGCCAAGAACAAATGTAGGACAGGGTGGCACAATGTGGACACCTGTGAGGTTCACAAAGATGGAGAAAGCTATGGGTGACCACTGGGGTCTCATGCACTTGAGCTAAAGACCACCAGATCATGGGTGAACATGGTAGGGTACACACACATATACACACACATACACCACACGACACAGAAAGGGACTTCCACAATGGCCTCTGGAGAGGAGAAAACAGGATTTCTTTCACCCATGATGTCTATTTATTTCTCTCTGGCTGCGGTGCTGCCTAAGGAAGAGGGTCTGTGCTCCAGGAAGGAGTGTCTGAGCAGGTTGGTTAGAGTGAGGCAGCCCCTCTCTCAGATGTGTGTGGTCTTCGTCATCTTGCCTGAGCTATGAAGCCACTATTTCTCACCAATGGTTTAGAGAGTAACTTGGGCTGGAGGTTCCTTCACCTAAACAAGGAACCAGTAGAGATAGACGCAGGGCTGGGGAAATTCTAAACTAAGGAACAAGAGATTCATGGCTGTCATAGGCTCACTAGGAGAACTGTCAGTGTGATTGCTACTCACCTGGGCATCTCCAAGGAGGTTGTGACCCAGGAGCTTGGGATGCTGAAAGAAAAGAAAGGCTGGAGACAGACAGCCTTCAACTGATACTTGTGAGCCTGGAGAGAGGACAAAGTTGCCCAGGGCAGGCCCTCTGCAAGTGAAGGTGACAATCTTGGCTGAGGTGAAGGTCACAGGAGGCAAGTGACAAGAGGATAACTGTAAAGAAGCATAAGAACTGTAAAGATCCAGGCTTCAACTCCCAGATAACAACTGTGGTGTAGTCAAAGCCTTAGATGGAGAGGGGTGGGGGTAGGGAGGAGGACGGAGCTGTCCTGCTGTGAAGATCGTGAAATCTCAGAATCCCAGCCTTGTGACACCAGCCAGCTGAGTGGCTATTTCTGGAACTTCCTTAGGAGGGGACAGTTACCTGCTCCTAGTTGTCATGTTGTCAGACACCTTGGCAGAAGGTCTCCTAGTGGCTCACACAGCCTGAAGTTGGCTCTCAGAAGTGACACTCATTGTCACTAGTTCTGTTTTCTGGAAACTCCTGGTACATAATTCTGGGCCCTAAATCCTGGCAGCCCCAAGATAATCACCCTGAGGGACAGAGCCAAGTCTCTACTAAACTGGGCCACAACAGCTGATGGAGGCACTGGAGGGCCAGGTCCCTGCACCTGGTGTGACAGGACAGATGGGTGGTGGTCAAGATGAGGTCATACTGGCTAGGGTGGCCCTAGTCTAATGGCTAGTATCCTTCTAAGAAAAAGGGAAAGGACAGAAATATGGAGGAAGACTTCACAGGGACAAGTCTGAGCCTCGAGTGATATACCTATAGGCAAAGGACTGCCAAGCACTACCTCTTACACTCAATCTGAGAAAAGGCCTGGAACAGACCTTCCAGAGCCTCCAGGAGGATCCACCCTGCCCCCACCTTTGATTTCCAGTACTGAGCGAGAGTGGATAAATCCCTGTCATTAGGCCAGCCATCTGTCACCCAGGAAGCCCTGCAGGAGGCAAGAGGGCAAAGCAGAGCTTTCGGCTCCCTCTGCCTCTAATATCAGGTGAAGTATCCAGGCATCTCGGAGCTGAAGGAATGGTTGGGATCCAGAGGAATCATTCTGGTGGCTCAAAGCTGACCTGGCTCAAGGCTGGCAGCACATACCTGCTGTATTTGTGGGGTGGGAGTCTGCACAGTATGGAGCCCACCATGGGGGAAGAGCAGACTCAGGCCCCTGGCTGGACACAGGGTCCCAGTGCTCTTGACTCAGAGGAGGAGGAGTGAGCTTGAGTGGGCCAGGACAGGGACATTGAAGGGCTATGGCTTCCAGATGCTCTAGAGCTCCAGTAGCAGGGAACCTGTCTTCTTTTACCCAGCCAAGATGACACAGGTCTGGGCCAAGGTCGCCTGAAGGACCAGGCAGGATCAGGTTTGTGGTCACATGGATCCTCTCCCAGGCCCACCCACTGACAGATGCCCAGAGAAGTGGTCTCAGCTTTCCCACTCATGGCCTGGAACCCCACTCAGCTTGTCCAGAAGGGTCCAGGACAAGTGCCCTTCCAGAAATGTCTTTCCCCTGGGCCCTCACACTGCTGCCTCTGTCTTCAACATGTCCCTGAGGCTGCCAGCTGGCTGTGGTAATTAGTGGTTGTCTTCCTTGGGCAGTCAACAGTCTCAGTCACTTCCCAGGAAGCTCCTGCATCTTTTCTTCATCAGTCACCCATTCACTAAGCCAAAATACCAGCCAGTGGCGAGACAAAGGACGTCAAAGGGCAGCTCCCTGCTCCAGCTCTGGGCTCACAGCTGAAAGGCACTTTAACAGGCCATCTGGTCAACCCACCTCCCTAGGCTCAGACTGGTTTCCACAGAACTGAGTCTTGCAGTGGAGGAGAGCATCAGAGCATCCAGAGCAGACTCTGGCCAGTTGTTTGGACAATAGTGAGGCCAAATTGAATACTCCCAGGGTTTGGGGAGCTCATACCCTTGTAAGGGAACCATTTCACTTCACACTATCTCCCCTGAACTGCTTTATGCCACCATGATCCCAGCCCAGTAGTCCTGTTCCTATCCTGGTGTTTGTGACCACACAAGGCTCATTTACTCCATCTTCCATCAACCCCTCTGGGAAATGCTGACACTGCTTTGGAAGCATGTGTGTTAAGTGTCCATCCCCCAATCCATGGGCACATTTGCTCACGTACAAGCAGCTGAGTTCAGGTGTACCTTATAATTGGGGTGTCTACAATACCATTGGGAGTCTGACTTTCTTTATAGAACTAGCTAAAAAAAGTGCGTTTTAAAATCTGTGGTGTCTGAGACTTGATGAAATGTGGCCTGTGAATTTATTGGGCTGTTGTCCCAGAGGTTGAGGATGTACTGAAGGTCACATAGCTAAGAAGTCAGAGCTTCTTGAGCTCCAGCCCTGAGCCTGCAAAGCCTGTGCACCCTTATCAGCTCACTGTGGGCTGCCAGGCTGTCCTCAGATGGGTGTGGGCTGCTTTTCTACCCAGTCCCACCCAGAGGCCAAGCACTGAGGACACCAGCAGCTCCTTCAGCCCTTAGCCCCAGGCTCTCTGGAAGCAGTGCCCAACCGGAAGAGATTCTAAGGTTCTCCTGTAGGTCCCGATGTGCCTCTGTCATTTACTTCTGGGGAATAACTGAGTTCTGAGAGTTCCTTTCCACAGGCCCACCTTGTTGTCACTATCCACTCTCCTGGTCCTACTGGCAGAATTAAAGGTTATGGCTGAGCACCTGGTGACTCCCACAAAGCACCTTCAGGGTCACATTTCCTGTCATCTTACATCACCATCAGAGTACAGCATCAGGGCAGGACTACCATTCCTGTTTGTCACAGAAGAGAGGCTGAGATGCCAGTGATGGCAAGGGTCTCCTCCTCAGAGCTCTTGCACTGATCACAATGATGGTGTTTGTCACATCTGTCTACAGTGAGCCACAGCCTTCCTCAGCTGGTGATGTCAGGAGTCCTGCCTGACCCCTCCAAGGGCTGAGCGAGGACTAGAAGCAGAGCACCCATGAAGGCACCAGTGGCAAGCAGGAAGGGGCATCACATGCCTCTCTTTGCTGACGGTACCAAGACCTAGGGAGCTCCAGGACTCACTCAAGGTCACAGGTCAAGGTCATGCCTTTTTATAGTCTGCAGACAGAGAGGAAACAGAATGGTTCTGGATATGAGTAACTAGTCCCTTAAGCTGAGCCTGAGCACACACTGCTTGTGGGGTAGAGGTTGCCCTGACTACTTCACCTTCCATGAGCTTGAGATGCTCATAGCCGTGTGTGCCTCATCCTAACTCAGCACATGCAGAAGAGACAGAGGGGCTGAAATCCCACTGACCTTGGCTTAATCCCCACACTGAGCAAGTCAGGAGAATATTCTGAGCCAGTATCCACACATAGCACCAATGTGTGGGTCCAGTGGGCTTCAACAAGTCATAGTCTCCTTGCTTAGCATAATCATCAGGCAATAGCACGTGATAACCACAAGATACTGTTGTGCCTTCTGGCAGCAAGACAAAAGGCACAATGCTGACACAGCCTCCATTCAGGATGTCTGTTCCATGACACTTCACAGCCCCAAAGTCCTCTCAGCTCAGGGCCTCAGAGCCCACAGAAACCCTCTAGTCTACCCCACTCTGACCCCAACCACTGCCTGTTAGTCTCACCTGGTCCACACCTCCCAAATCCATCAAGCAAAAGCCACAGGTTTCTGTTTTCACCTAGATTTTGATTCTACCCATGGTCTGTGCTTCTGCCCATACCTGGTCTTCATACTGATGCATCTCCATCGTCTGTAAGAGTTTCCCTCACTGTTATACTGTCCCTGATAGAATGGGCTGTAAACATATGAAAATAGGACCCCTTTATGACCTAAGGGGCTGCAGATCACATGAAAAGGTCTGAGAGACCTGGATCCACATGCTGAGGGAGACAGAGAAGGCAACTTTTGCCTAGTAGCCAGGTAGCCTCACACCCATTGAAACATGCGTATTTGTTAGCAATGAAGGGAGGACTCCGTGGTATTAAAACTGGATGCCAAATAAAAATAAAACCTCTCTCATGTCTTGAAACCTACACTTGACAGCAGGTTTGCACTAGGGCAGATAGGGCCTAGCAATAAGGTGACTAACAGTATGTAGAGTGCTGGCTGCCCCTGAAGAGCCCCCTTTCTCCCTCACTTCTGGGGCCACAGCTGTGGAGGTCAATAGATGAATGGAAATGAGGAATCCTCATCACTCCTTGACAGGTGGGCCATTACACAAGGCTGTAAGCAGGGGTGATATCCAAGGACCAGAGTGCTGGGGGTTTCTGGCAGCAATGGGGCTGCCTAGGAAGTGCTCCTTGAGAGGGTGGGGCAGGTCTGATGTGGCACCCAGAAAACTCAAAGTCCACCTCTTCATAGCACAGTGCATACAGTGAAGTCTGCAGTGCACACAGAATAGGTTCAAGAGGAATCTTGTGGGGCCCTAAATGGAGGCAGCCTAGACTGAAAGGAGGGGCTTGGGGAGCAGGAAAGGAAGGGATTATGAGAATCACTGGAGGGGGTTTGCACTAGGCACCAGGATAAGATACTAGAACCTCTGAGAGCTGTTTCAGACCTAAGTCTCAGGAAATCTCCCCTCCAGTAAGGCATAATGAGGTGACTACGGTGGACAGAGTGTTCATCCAGGAAACACTTTGTGTTTGTATGCCTATTGGGTGTGTCAATAGGCACCACATACAGGGGCTGTCACCTCACCATCTTCCTTTTCCCTTGTGGAATGATCCCTAGGAGCAGAGACAAAGGAAAGGGTAGGCTTTGCCTGGTGGGCTGAGAGACCAGGCAAGGCAAGGAAGAATCTGTCCAAAGGAACACCATACCAGGGGATTCCCATTCTTGACTTCAAGTTCCATGCCAGCCCTCAAGGGGCTCTAAGTCCATTTGACACCCAAGAGGCTGAGAAGGCCAAAGTCCTGGTTTTTATCAAGGGCTCTGTCCAGGAGTAGGGGGTTCTTGGCCAGTGCCCACAGGTGAGGTCACATGAGCTGAGACCTCAGGGTCCTCCTCACCCCCAACAAGGTGCCTATCCTACCACAGATCTCCAGGTGCCCTCTGAGCACTGCTCTCTCCTGCACCTTCACCCCTCAGCTCCCACTTTTCTCCACAGAACTCATGCCAGGCTTCTGCCCCCCCGATAGCAAAACAGGGTCAGCCAGTGCTTGC